CCGATTCTTCCCCTCCACTGGAGAGAAAGGAGGTGAACAAAGCTAAGCATGTCTGAAAACATGGTTAATGGTCCAGTTTCTGTCTCATATGCGAATGTCACAAAAAAGAGGCAGAAAGAAGGAAGGTTCACCCTTAGGTTTTTTTTCTTATACACAAATTCACCATATAATGTCTCAAATCATATTCCAGAGAAGAGGCATTTCTTATCTTACACCTCCTTGTGCGAACAGCCAAAACATTAGTCAAGATGGAAAACCAGTAAAACTGCTTTAGCATACATTCTTCGCACTCTTTATTCAAATGATGATCTTAAAATTCTGGGGGAAAGGGATATTTTGTCACATAGATATAAGAAGTACATAGGCTGTTCATTCACCCATCTTCCAGTATCAGGACTCAAATTCAGTGGTGGTAGCAACCATTTAAATTATCTAATTTCATACTCCGTGTACGCACAAAGGAAATTAAAAATCTTTTTTATAAATATCAGTTTCCAACCTCCCTATTTCTTCATTCTCCTATATATTCCATCTTCTGGTTTTGGGGACTTGAGAAAGCCTTTGAGAACACAGAGTGACTCAGCACTTCCTAACGGTCCAACAAAGCCCTTTTTTTGCTTCTGTGTTTCAAATTTATACTTCTGGCATAAAGTCATTACAGTCTGAAGATCCAATTAAGGAAGAATTAGCAAAATTTCTACATGCTGCCATGGTACAGAATGAGGCAGGGAGTTGACATCTACAATAATGCCAGCGCTTAGTCACTTGTTCCCGTTACCAGTGAACTTGACCTAGAGCTCATGGAAATCAATGGGGACAGCTCCAATAAGTCAGTTACTGTTATGAGAGTTGGAATTACTCTTCCAGGTACTTTTTCCGACTCTGCTGCTTCTCATTCACAGACATACTTAATGAGCATGTTGAAGAGCTGGTTATTTTCCAAGAGAACTGTGGTTGCCTTGACCTCCACATGCACCGTACTTGGGCTATTTATTTTCTTTGCTTTTTTAAAAACAACAACAACCCAAAAAGCCCAAGAAAGCTTTCAACCAATGGTACAGAAGCCTTAATTACATTTCTGCAGTTCAAGATGGGGAATGAAGCTTCACTTATTCCCAGGAATTGCTCTGGCTTTGTCTACATCTGGCTACAGGCAGTAAGAAGGGGATAGACTGAACAAAGTGTTTCCCTGGAACAGACTTCTGTAGACACTGTAACACAAGGGAAATGTTATAGCTAGCACGCCTTTAGAACAGAATAGGCCTCAACTGCAGGTTTATAACTACTCCCCTAGTCCAAATTTGTAGGGATAGGTACATTCCTGTGGTGAGAGGGCATGACCTAACCAGAAGCTATCTTCCGACGATAAGGTACCAAGCAGTTGCTCTCAACAGAAGCAGCTTTGCAAGCCGTGGAAGCCCAGTGAGGCACAACTTCTCTGCTATGAGCAGATGCCTGGCATCTGATGAGAGCTGCTAGGGACTGAGAAGCAGAAACTACTCACTGCACCCAGGCTCAAAGCGACGCTATTCTGGGCCTGCTTTGTACTTGGACGGGGATCACCCAGATCGGTGAAGGTGCAGTAAGCACACGGCACAAAGCTCTCTCAAACAGAGATCACAAAAACTGATGTACCTGAAAGACCATTTGGTACTAGAATTGATACTGAACCAGACAGGAAAAGGCAACCGGGCCAAGGCTGAATCTGGACCAGAAACACAATTTTCTTCATGTATATTTTTAAATTCTCAGACTCTAGGGATCAGAATAACTTCTCAGCATCCAAAAAGGACCAAATTCTACTCATTGCATTCAGTGGAGTCCTGCCCCCGAGTACCTGTACAACAGCCAGGTTGGAAAATCTGTATAAAACTAGTGTGTCACAGTAAATTTCTACTGTATTTTTAATGGGGACAAATTCTGTCACTGCCACAACAGTCCCCTTCCACTGAAAAGGTACCAGTTCAGGCCCCAACACTGGTCTGCTGTTCCTATCTTGCAGAAAAGCATACCCAGTGGCCAGTCCTTGTCTTGGAGGAAGACCTCATCTGCCTTAAGGAAAGTGCCCTCAATGCTAGGCACCAAACAGTATGTTTCTCAAAGGTTTCTTGCAGCAATGCCTTATTAATGACAGAATAGCTGAAAAGGCCAGCTTGGAAGTTTCACTTAATGACATGGTCTCTACTGTGATGCTCATTATTGGGCCACTTGCTTCAGCTACTGGTGGATGCAGCATATCATGTAGCAGAAACTGCCCCTTAGTGATTACTCACCCATCAGACAGCTTTTCACAGAATCAGTTTGCAAGAATGTCTGGCTCAGTCTGAAAGAGTAGTTTCTTCACAGTTATTTACAAAGAGTTACTAAACTTTATTACAAACTTCAAAATACAAAATATATTAACACCACCTTAAAAATAAAATGTGATACTGTTTCTGAAGTTAAAATTCCCAATTTTCTTCAAGGTTCACTCACTTCCTGTGGTCTCTGAAAATCTTCAAAGACTGCTCTGAAAGCTAAGATCTTATAAAAAAATAATTGACCTACATCTGCACATGAGTTTTTTTAAGGCAGTGCTTTACACAGTCAGAGGTGGTTGCATGTCCTTCCTTTCAGACTACTTCCTTCAACTGTTATTTGCAATGCTGCAGTTTTAAGAGACCTGGATCAGAAGAAGGCCACGCTTGTTACACACGGTGTACACACACTCAAGAAAAAGAGACTGTCAAAAATACTTCCTGCACAAAAGCTCACTGGGACAATGCCCAGCTAAAAGTCCCCAACCGCAACAGGAAGCACGGCGCAGGCCCTGTCTCTCCTCTGGATTCCGCCTGTGTTTACCCACCTCTGCCTGAACTCCTGCTCCAGAAGGAGCAGAACTGCTGCTGTTCACCCGCAGACGTGGCCAGAAGCCACGTGCTTCAGCAGAAGGGTCTGACCAAGGGCAGAAACGGTAGCTGTCACTTTTGCACACCTACAAACTGAGAACTCACCTTCCTTTCCTACTTCATTATATAAAGGAAAAAAACCCCTCCTGAAGCACTGAAGTGAATAAAGTCCAATTTCCTGCATCTCTCAACAGACTGATATTGACAGCCAAGATACGGCAAGTTCCCAATAACGTTCTTCTGAGGTATTTAGAAATGAATCTCTCCTTCTCCTTTCAACTCCCCATCTTCTCCTGACATAAATGTCGGAGTAACTTGTAAACTGAACTCACATTGTTGATTTTTTCCTCCTTTAGTCACGGGATTCCAGGTCACCAGTTTTCACAGAGCTTGCAAGAACTCTCTCTCTCATAAATTCCTATTGGTTTCACAAGTCTCTTTTTCTGCCTGGCTAAAATAATACTAAACTACAGCATTTCCCTCACCTCTACAGAAGATGAAAAGAAGTTTCCCTGCCTTCTAATAATAGTGGTGTATTTCCACCATGCTACAGGGAAACTTCAGCATCTCAAAATTCCTGTGAGAAAGGACGGGTAAGAGCAAACAAAGCCCATCGTATTACACACGCTGAGCTCCATATAGTTTTGGCATCCAGTTTTATGCTTCCCCTACACAGAAAACCAGTTTGTCTGCAGAAGATAATCTCAGTACCGGCTTAGGAACCAGAGTAAGACAGCAAGACCTTCAGCTACCCTAGAGAAGTTTTTCAGTGACAAGGCAGTTGGTCAGAAGCCAGCTGAATTTCCAACCAGGCAGCTGCTCGCCTCTCGGGCTCCAGACTGGGATTGGTGTGTTTGTCCGATGCTTCCAAGAGGAGCCCCCTGTTTTACAAGGCCACAAAGCAAAAGGCATTTGGGAGGGGCACAGTCAAAGAAAGCGGTTTGCATGTGATTATGAACTCCACAGCTAGAGAACAAGAAAGCAGGAGATGTTGCTTTCTTCTCCCATTCTTCCGTGCCCACTCGCTCTAGCCTTGGGAGGTCCAGCGTGTGACTGTACCAGGAAGGTCTGTGACTGGCCTAGCTAGTAATCGCATTTCTGATGCCAGAAGGGTAAGTACATTGACAAAGCTGTTTTCCCCTTTTCAAAAATAGATGATATAGAGGATTTGGCGTTTGCTAATCCCCCGCAAGGGTGGGGAGGAAGGCAGAAGTGTAAAGGTAACTTCTTCCCGAAGCACAGCTGGCTGTGGAAGACAGGACCTGTGCTCCCACAACAAGAGAGACCCCTGGCCCATTGACTACGCACTCGCTTCAGTCCCAAGTTCAATCAGACCACAGCAAAGAACCATCCCCTGTCACCAATTCAAATCCCAACTGCGAATGTTGATACTGGTTTTGATTAAGGTGCATGGGACTCTTAATCAGTGTCTGCGAGCACTTTAAAACTGAGAAGAACTATAACCAAGAGCAAGGTTCGGTTACCCAGAGGCATGTTTACTCTGTACCACTTTGCTTTATGTACCTGAGGTCAAGGGTTTTTTTAAAAATATGAAGCGTGTCACATGCACAAAGTGAGTAGGAGACGCCACGATTTACAAACAGCATTGCACTTAAATAACTTACCAGCCAGAGTACCCCAGCAAGCCACACTGCCCACAGACATCCACTTCGAAGGCATCGCTTGAAATCATCAGTCTCTCCAATAAAAGCATGCTGGCTCCATATCCTATCAAACAATCCCGTTCCATCTCTCCAAGACGTAAACCACCGTCACGGGATCGACCTTCAGTGGGTTGCCTTTGAAATAAATATTTGAAAAAATGTAGGAGGTGTTCCAGAAAATACAAACACATTATACAACTCCAGGAACGCCTGTCTGTAGGAACAGTACAGGATCGACACACAACGGTGTTCTGGAAGCCAGAGTTGCTGATCTCACAACCGCGTTACCCAAGTGGAAGCAGTTCATCCCTGCTCCTGCACTAGCAATATGGCGTAGGTCTGCGAGTGGCAACTGCGGCGTCAGGACACAACTCCTTACCTCACAGAATGCAGCTGAGTAAGTGAAAACAAGGAGTATCCAAGACAATCTGGACACAGATTTGGTAGCCTTTTTTTGGTGAGACATTCATTATAGTTTGTAGCTAATGAAATGAAATGATATTCAGCAGCTAATGAATGAATCACCAAGCTAATGTTGCAGCTGAACTACAGCTAAGACTAAATTCTTGAGATAAAACCTTCTTTGAGCTGGGAGAGAATACCAAACAAAGCAGCAACAAGTAGCACGCATATTACTAACTTATTGAAATCCTACTTTTATTTTTATTTGAAGTAACATTTATCTTTGGGAGGGAGTGTGGGTTTGTTTAGATTTCCCGGTCTTGCTATCACTGATGGGGTTTGCTTGGAATCTGCTGCGGCAGGTCTCGGGCACCAACCCTCGGGCTGCGGCTCTCGGGGCC